TTTCACATAATTCCGTACGAATGTTCCGGGGTTGAGGGTCTTTTGTGTTTTTTTTTTCATGCTTTTTTTTATTTTACTCTTTTTTTTTAATTCACGGACATGATATTCTCGTTTTTTTTTGCAAAAATGAGGAAAAAAAAATCAGGTATGTAGCGCAGGACCGGAGGATCATGTGTAACTATGCCCGATGGATGAGATTATCCCAAAACAACAGTAAAATAGAATCGTCACATCGACTTCGTTTTATAGTTAAACAAATGCAAATCATCATTTTTTCTGATGTGATTATCGTTATAATGATTATCGTTGTTATAGTAATTATCGTTGTTACAATAATTGTCGTTGTTTTAATAATTATCGTTGTTTTGATAATTATCGTTGTTTTAATAATTATCGTTGTTTTAATGATTTCGTTGTTATACTAATTATCGTTGTTTTAATAATTATCGTTGTTTTAATAATTATCGTTGTTTTAATAATTATCATTATTGCAAGTTTTCATCATCTTTTTCCTCAATCTTTTCCCGCTTTCCACCATTCCTCCCACCCACTTTTTTGCAAAATTGGTTTGTGCAGTCAAACTTATTTGTATTGAACCGTTCTAGGTTACATGGACAGCATCACAGCGTGATTTCTACGTGGAATTTGTAAATGAGGAGAAAAAATATGCAGCAATGGCACGAGATATAGCGCAAGAAGATTACTCATCACTGCTCGGTCGAAAGGTTTCTATATCCTTTTTGGATTTTCTAGATATCCCTCCCCCCCATCCCTACCCCCTCCCGCCCTCTGTTAAAATACCTATAATAATGTAGACTGTTTTAGGTTTGTTATAACTTATACTGCACAGATTGAATAGATATGATCCAATGGTTGTAACGATTTAGTCCAGCTGTGGAAGATTTCTTGCGTATCGATGACATGGATTTTCAAATTTTTTGTTTTTTGAATAAACCAGATAAAAGAATTTTGCTCAGATTTTTGTGCGAGCGAATAGATTCGCTTGGATTTATACAAAAATACTGAGCAAGACTTTTTTAACTGGTTTATCCAAAAGAAAAAGAAAACTCCAAAAAAAGATAAATGGCCAGCGCATCAACTGCCAGTGTGAAAAGGGGTTTTTTGCATAGTTCCCCACAAGTTTTTGTTGCTAACGGCATCGATTTTTCCGACAAATGCTTCTAGTTAATAGAGACTAGCTGTCAGGGCTGTCTGAAAACATCCCTTTAAAATTTCAGCCTTCTAGCTTTTCAGGTTCCCGAGTTAGCAACTTACCCGAAAAAAACTGTGTGGGGCCCATACGTGAGTACAACTTATACCCGAGGGCTGGCTTGAAATCATTAATACCTACTTTGACGGGCAACATCCCAATTAAAATTCCAGTCTTCTAGTTTTTCAGATCTCCGAGTTAGCATCTTATCCGAAAAAAGCTTTGGCCGGGCAGTAGTGAAAACAACACGAGTAAGAGTGCCCATTTTGGAAATGTGGGTTCGTACACGCATGTAGATCAAGTTCCCAAAGTTTCAGCCCTGTAGCTTTTGTAGATCTCGAGATGAAAAATCGGTACAGACGAACACACAGACTCATACACCCGCAGCCCATCGTCAGTATGCATATTCTGCACTGCATAGATGCAAAAAAAATACATTGGAAAGTTTGAAAGTGTCTTTAGTGCCCTGGCAACTTGCAGTTTTTCTATGGT